ACAGAGTGAAGAAACAAGTGTCACACTGGAAGAAAATATTTATAAAATATGCATCTGACAAAAGACTAGTACCCAAAACTTCAACAATGATCTTAGAATTGATCTGAATATACATTTTCCAAAGGCAAAATACATATGGCCAGTAAACACATAAAAACATGCTCAACATCATTAGCCTTAAGGGAAATGCAACCAAAAATCACAATGAAGCATTATCTTACTCTAGTTAGAGTGGCAGTTAGCAAAACTACAGACAATAAAGTGTTGGTGTAAAAAGGGAACTCTAGTATACTACTGGTGTGAATTTAAACTTGTGCCATCATTATGAAGAACAATATGGAGGTTCCTTAAGAAATGAAAAATAGATCTATCATATGATCATTTTATCCTACTTCTGAGAACATATGTAAACATAATGAAGTCAGCACATGAAAGAGAAACCTGTACTTTCTTGTTTACTATAGTGGTGTTCACAATAGCTATGATATTCAACCAATCAAGATGTCCATCAGTGGATGAATGAATAAATACAATGTTGTACATATACACAATGGAATAGTGCTCAGCCAAAAAAAAAAAAAGTAAAATCTGTGGTGGGACCAGCATTGTGGCATAGCAGGTAAAGCCACTGCCTGTAATGCTAGCACCCTCTATGGGTACTAGTTCATGTCCCAGCTGCTGCACTTCCCATCCAGCTCCTGTCTAATGCACCCAGGAAAGCAGCAAAGGTTGGCCAAGGTGCTTAGGCCCCTCCACCCACGTGGAAGACCTAGAAAAAGCTCCTGGCCCCTAGCTTCACCTTAGCCCAGACCCAACCATTGCAGCCATCTGGTAAGTGAGCCAGCAGATGCAAGATCTATCTGTCTCTCTTCTCTCTGTGTAACTCTTTCAAATAAATAAATCTTCAAAAAAATAAAATACTGAAATTTACAACTAAAATAAACCATCCATATAAAGAAATGTATTTTTTTGTATCATAGGTGGACATTAAAATATATACACACACGCTCATATACATTCATATACTATTTACACAAACACAAACATGCATACATATATACAGCAAAAATGTAGATGCCATAATATTTGGTATATAGATATTTTTAAATGTTTTCACTGAATTCTATAACTGACATATTAATATATTCTTCCTTAATTTTATGATGTTAATATATCTACCCCTGTTTCCTTTGTGTTTGTGTTTGCGTAGAGTCTATTTAATTCTCAAACTTACCAAATATTTTTTGGGGGGATGTATTTCTTAAGTATAGTATACAGTTATCATTACTATGAGACCCATTCTGAAAACCATTTCATCTTAATAAGCATAACTTCATTCCCTGATTACGGTCATTGTTACATTTTTAAAATTTATAAATACCAAAATTTTTAAAAATGGAATTTACTGCTTGATAATATTTTTAAAAAGAATTTTAATGCCAAAGTGAATTACAGAAAAAAATACCTTCAGTACTTAATACTGTATTGTATTTTTCATGAAAATATTTTCATAATGAAAATTGCTAAGAGAACTAAAACGTGAAAAACATACAAATGTGTAAAAAGTATCAATATATAAACTATTCCCTAATTTGATTTACAAAAAGATGTCTGTGTGACAGAGAAGGCACTCTTGAACCATCCTGAGAACAGCAGTCAGCAGGCCCCAAATACACCACAATCTAAATGAAAATATTCTTAGGAAGTATATTAATGATACTTAGAATAGTTTATTGACTTTCTATTGAAGTAGAATGTACATACAGCAAACTTTATACACTAAGACATACCTGAATAAATCTGTACTACACAAAAACAATGAGTGATCAACACACAGAAGAAACAGTATTTGCCAGCACTCCAGAGAACACCCAGATGACCTATTTGCACAACAACCCAGAGACATCTTAACCTTCCTTAACCTATGTTAACACTTTTCAAAAAATAGCAAAATAGCATCTTGTTTATGGTAGCTATAAAGCTATAAAACTATAAAGTTTATATAAGTTAGTGTCACTACTCAGAATGTATTATTCTTTTTCAGAAGCTTTTTTGCTGTTCTAGTTCTTATTCTATTCCATATTAATTTTTTAATCATCTTGCTAATATCTACAAGGAGCTTGCAATGATTTTTCCTTGCATTGGATCTCCAGATAAAATTGGGTAGAATTGACAATATTGATATTTCTAATTAATAAACATAGTGTACTTTTATAACCTACATTAGTTTAGATATTTCTTCACAATCTTCATCAATGCTTAGTATTAAACATAGAGATGATTTATATCTTACTAGATTTACACTTACGTATACACTTTTGTATTATTATAAATTATATTTACTTTTTCAAGGCTAATATAATAATATAACTGTTGTATATTTACTTTTAATCCTACCAATTTGCTAAACCATGTTTCTAGTTCTAAGAGTATTCTAAGTTCTTTGAGATTTTCTAATGTAAAGAATAATGCATCTGTAAAGACAGATTTGTTTTTTGCCTCTGATTTTTATGGATCATTTCTTTCCATTCCCCTGTGGCTGGGGATAGAATTCTACATAAATGAAGAGACAGGGCATCTTTATTCTCTTCCCAATTGTAAATAGAAAGCATATCTTTTAAAAACACACTAGATTGTACATTGTTAATACTTGCAATTTACAGAACAAATATTACATACCAGTATACTTAAATACCCTTTGGATTCAGAGGGCAGCCATGAGACCACACATCTTTGTATATTAACATGCACAAATATACAAAGTAGGGATTTTTAAGATTATATTTACCAGATAAAAATACATTTCAGTGCTCCTCCCATTCATTTTCACTCTCACAAGTTTTTAATGATGGGGATTCTAAGTATACTTCAGTATTTGGTAAGGTTTTTTTTTCCTCTTAGATTCTACAACTCTCCCTGTTTTGGACCACTTTGTTCATTGTTATCTAGCTCATTTGAACTCTTGCCTGGTTCCGGAGAAATGAAAATATATAAAAATACATTCATTCATATATAAATGTAAAATAAACATCAAAAGTTAATATTTTAGAAGAAAAGTTAGAATTTTTGATAAGAAGTTTGTCAAAAGGAAGAGTTTACCTACTCCTACTAAAGAACTGAACTCTAGGTCCCACATAACACATACTCTGCATAGTCATGCAAAATAATATACAAAATGCATTTCTTATGGGTTTGTATTTCAATTGTATTAATAATAGTGATAAAATATATGAAATGCTATTATCATTCTACTTACTGAATCTGATGTAATTTCTTTTGTGAGGCCAACACAGAATTAAAAATCAAACATAGGAGCTGGAGCTGTGGCGTAGCAGGTAAAGCTGCTGCCTGCATTACTGGCATACCATTTGGGCACCATTTTGAGTCCCGGCTGCCCTACTTCTGATCCAGCTCTCTGCTATGGCCTGGGAAGGCAGTAGAAGATGGCCCAAATCCTTGGGCCCCTGTACCCGCATGGGAGACCAGGAGGAAACTCTTGACTCCTGGCTTTGGATTGGCGCAGCTCTGGCTGTTGCAGCCAACTGGGGAGTGATCCAGCAGATGGAAGATCTCTCTCTCTCTGCCTCTCCTTCTCTCTCTCTGTAACTCTGACTTTCAAATAAATAAATAAATCTTAAAAAAAGATTTATTTAAAAAAATTTAAAAAATAAAAATTAAACATACTTTTGTTTCTGAAGAATGAAGTGTTTCTTGATTCTTTATTATTTAAAATCTTGAAGGCCTTAGAAAAATCTCATTAAATTGAAAAAATAATTTTATGCATCAAGAAAATGTATAAAAGAAAATGAATGCAAGTCAAACCTCAATGATGAGAAAAGAAAAAAAAAAGATACATAATGAGCTTATGGGTCTGACCAAAATGATCCAATAGCCATAATCTTAGTTATTAAGTCAACATGCTGTAACCACAAAAATTTTTTGAGAAATTCTTAGTTGAATTTCACAAAAGGATATTTAATTGCAATATGAAGCCGCAAAAAAATACCAATCATTCCCCCAAAATTCTTCACTTGTCATTCTATGAAAAAGTGAGATCAAATAAAATTATAAAAGGAAATGATTCAGAAACAATGTGGAGATTCTCACCAGGATAAAGAGACATTAAGGAAATATTATCCAACATGCCACTATAAAGATGAACTCAAAGACCTGAGATGTGGCATGGAACACAAGATGTATGACTGTCAATGGATGCTGGTTTAGCTACTCACCCCTATTCTCTGAAGTGGAAGAACACATTCTAATACTCCTCTACCTCAGCAAATTAAAACAGAAAGAAAAGAAATAATCTCAGAAAATACTTAAGAGTAAAAATAACAAAGCACTAAAATTATTTCCATTGTCAACATTTAATATAGGCATTTGGTGATAACTTTCTTTAGTCCAACATTAATAAGACTTGCAGAACCCATAATATTTTGCACAATCCACTTTCAATGCAATCTTTTCTCACTCATTAATTAATATTTCCTATATACAGTATCTATCTACACTCTTTGTTCACAGTGAACAAATTGAAGCAAGTCTTGAGTCACTGAGACTATAAAAATTACTTAAGATTGGGGCTGGTGTTGTGGCATAGCCACATGGGTGCTAGATCATAGACCTGGCTGGTTTACTTGAATTAGCTCCCGGATAATGGACCTGGGAAAGCAGCAGAAGATGGCCCAAGTCCTTGAGCCCCTGCATCCACATGGGAGGCCCAGAAGAAGCTCCAGGCTCCTGGCTTCAGCCTGGCCCAGCCCCAGCTGTTGCAGCCATTTGGGGAGTGAACAACTAGATGAAGATCTCTCTCTGTCTCTCCTCCTTTATAACTCTGCCTTTCAAATAAATAAAAAACATTTTCTTAAAAAAGTATATAATATAGATTGCTAATATTATTTTCTGAGAAAAAGAAAACACATATTTATATCAGTATTGTCATTACAGAGGTCACCAAATATTGCCAGGCTCTGAGAGTCTTATTTGCCCTATTACAGAACCACTCATCTGGACCTCAGATTGACATCTGGAATGAGTCCCTCAGCATCCTCAGACACTTGTTCTCATCATCGATCCAGATAAGCACCCTCCCAGCAAATAAGTATTTCCATTGCCAGGCTTATTTTGTGCAAGCTTATGTAATGCATTATAAAGGAAGAACAATAATTATACAGTGGAAGTTTTACTTAGTATACAGTGTATAAATATGTTTGGTTGTTCTAATAAAATTATAGAAAATCTATTGGGAATTTAAAAAGAAAACATTTCTAATCAACTGAAATTCTACAAGAGTGAGCAAAAAGAAATAATATGATTATAGAACAAATATGAGTAGAAATATGCTTTGAATATGCCAGATAAAGATAAAATAATCAATACTTAGCAAACTTGAATTTTAATACAAGAGTACTTTCATCCAAAACAAAATGGTGAAAGGAAATATACCAATGATTCACCAAATCATTCAGGCTACATCAAAAAGAAATTTTTAAAAAAGGAACAAACAACAATGAGGATTCTATTAACAAACTAGGGACAGTCACAGGGGGAAAAATCTATCATAAAAAATATTCTCTTCTGAACCTCTGAGAACATGATTACCCAATCTTGAAGCTGTGGCATCGCTAGCCACAATCCACAAAAACAATTTGAAAAGCAACACAGTAGTCACTCACCTCTCTTCCATTAAGTACTCTAACTTGTTCTAAACTTTGACCTGCAGCAAAATATCACAAAGAAATTAAGTCAGATAAAAATGTGGAAATCTATTTAAAAATCAATAATGGTTCTGTTATAATTATTTATCATACAGCCATCTCCACACAAACCAAGACTGTTGCTCTCTTGACACCTGTCATTTCCTTTCTTTATTCATTCCTTTCTGAACTGCTCATTCTGCGAATAATCAATAACCATCTCTAACATGCTATGCAAAATAGTGACACAGCAATTGCTTCTTTGAATGGTTCTAAAGTTGTAACCTACTAAATAAACACTTTATTTTAGCAACTAAAATGAAAGGCGCATAATAGGGATGTTTTGACATAAATATTCTGGAAGAGATAAGAAGTCTGTATACAAAAATACATCTGTAAAACTTTAAATCTATTTCAAAACATTATATATAAAATGATAGGACAATGACCAGAATACTAAAAGATGAAAATTTTCATAACTGAAATAGAAACTATTAAAAAAAAATCTCAAATTGGAGCAAGCATTGTGAAAGTAAAGAGGCCACCTGCAACACCTGAATCCAATTTGGGCACTTGTTGGAGTCTCAGCTCCTCTACTTCTGATCCAGCTCTCTGATATTGGCCTGAGAGAAGAAGCAGAATATGGTCAAGTGCTTGGAACCCTGCCACCCACGTGAGAGACCCAGAAGAAGTTCCTGGCTCTGGGATACAGCCTGGTCTAGCCCTGGCCATTACAGACATCTGAAGAATGAACCAGCAGATGGAAGACTCTCTGTCTCTCCAAATCTCTACATAACTCTGAGTCTTTTTAAAAAAAATTAAATAGGACATTACAAGGCTAACACATAAGAGAGTAACATGGGGTGAGCATGGTCCTTCTACATTAAAACATAGAATTCAATTAAGGATCACAGGAGGAATGCATGAGTAGAATAACAGAGGACTTTGAAGAATAAATGTTTGAAGGTAAATCATGGAATTCAAACTGTCATAGAACGCTAGGGGAGGATTTGGGAAATAAAATGTAAAATTGCTTGTTAAGTACAAAAAAACAGATCCAAAAAACCTGTTATAAATATAATGATGTAGGTAGGCAAAAAAAAAGTGACAGGACATAATAGAAAGATAAGGTATACACACAGAAATCAAAAAGAAGGGATGGGGGCCAGTGCTGTGGCAAAGCAGCTAAAGCCATGTCCTATGGGTGTTGGCATCCAATGTGAATGACAGTTTGAGTCCCAGCTGCTCCTCTTCCAGTCCAGCTCTCTGCTACAGCCTGGGAAAGCAGTAAAGTATGACCCAAGTCCTTGGGCTCCTGCACCCATGTGGCAGACCTGGAAGAAGCTCCAGACTCCTGGCTTCAAATCAGCCCAGCTCTGGCCATTGCAGGCTTTTAGGGGAGTGAATCAGTGAATGGAAGACTCTCTCTCCCCCTCAGTAACTCTGCCTTTCAAGTAAATAAATAAATCTTTTTAAAATAGGAAGGAATAGTGGTGAAATGAGTCAGACATAGAAAGACAAATACTACATGATCTCCCTCATATATGGGAGCTAAAGAAAAAAAAAACCTCAATATGAACACAGAATGACAATTACTAGAGGCTGAAAATAAATGGAGGGATAGAGGGAGTGTGGATTAAAAGAAATAGAGGAAGCTGGCTGTGGCTTACAGATTGTGACAAATACATATGATGTTAATAATAAGGGAGGCTGAGTGTGGGTTACATGGGAACTCTGTACAACTCCACAAAATTCTGTACAACTCCACAAAAATTTCTTTAGTAAATTTAAAGCTATCTGAAATTTTCAAAAAACTTAATAGGGAAGGAGTGACCATTTTACTAATAAAAAAAGTAAATCAGGACAATAAAAATTACTTTTTTATTTTTTTAAAGATTCATAGTTATTTTTTTGACAGGTAGAGTTACAGACAGTGAGAGAAAGAGAGACAGAAAGGTCTTCCTTCCGTTGGTTCATTCTCCAAATGGCCGCAATGGCCAGAGCTGAGCCAACCCAAAGCCAGGAGCCAGGTGATTCTTTCTGGTCTCCCACGTGGGTACACGGGCCCAAGCACTTGGGCCATCTTCCACTGCTTTCCCAGGCTGCAGAAGAAATCTGGATTGGAAGAGGAGCAGCTGGGACTAGAACCGGCGCCCATATGGGATGCCGGCGCCGCAAGTGGAGGATTAACCTAGTGTGCCACAGCGTTGCCCTTACAATAAAAGTTTGTAAGCAAAATAAAGGACACCACACAAATCAATTCACCAAGAAGATATAACTGTATCAAATGTGTGAGCAGGTAGCAACAAAACTTGAACATGCAAGAAGCAAAAACAGATGTGAAATTTATAATTATAAATGAAAACACTAATACTCTGCTCTCAGCAATCAACTATATGAAGATAGAAAGTCCACAAATATAAAGAACTGAACACCATGGAGCCGGCGCTGTGGCACAGTGGGTTAATGCCCTGGCCTGAAGCGCTGGTATCCCATATGGGCCCTGGTTCGAGACTAGGCTGCTCCATTTCTGATCCAGCTCTCTGCTATGGCCTGGGAAGGCAGGAGAAGATGGCCCAAGTCCTTGGGCCTCTGCATTCAAGAGACAGGCCCAGAGGAAGCTCCTGGCTCCTGTCTTCGAATCGGCACAGCCATTGCAGCCAACTGGGAAGCGAACCAGCAGATGAAGACCTCTCTCTCTCTGACTCTCCTTCTCTCTGTAACTATGCCTTTCAAATTAATAAATAAATATTTTTTTTAAAAAAGAACTGAACACCATAAAAAGATTGGATATTCACAGAGCATTCCAAGAACCACCAGTAGAACAAAATTAAATATTTGTAAATACACATGGGACATTTACCAAGACCATAATAATTTATCTAGACCATACGACAAACTTTAACAATTGTATAAGAATTGAAAGCATGCAAAATGCATTTTCTGACTGAAATTAAAAAGGTGATTTTTAAAAAGGAAATGAAAATATATATAACCAGAAAATCATATAAATACTAGAATTTGAAAAAACACTTCTAAATAATCATTGTGGTTCAAATAAATTAGAAAATAGTCTAAAAGAGCTAGCATTGTGACTTAATGTATTAAGATACTACCTGCAATGCCAACAGCACATATGTGTGCCAGTTTGTGCTTCTGCTGATCCTCTTCCAATCAAGCTCCCTACTAATGACCTGGAAAAAGGAGCATACTACAGCCCAACTGCTTGGGTCCCTGTTACTCAAGAGGGATACGTGGAAGAAGCTCCTCTCCCCTGGCTTTGGCCTTGCCTAACGCCAGCTGTTATAGCCATCTGTGGAGTGAATTAGCAGATGGAAGATAACTCTGTCCTTACTCTCTAACTTTGATTGTCAAATAAATAAATCGTTAAAAAATAAAAAGATTATATTCTAAAAACATAAAAGAAAATTTAAACATCAAAATTCTTGGGATATATCTAAAGCAGTCTTTAAAGGGATATCTATAAAGTTAAGATTCTAATATCAGAAAAGAAAGGTATAAAATCAGCAACCCATATACCAACAATAAGATACTAGAACAAAAGCCAAGAAATACAACAGATGACAAGAAATACTAAAGTATGTATTAATTCAATGAAATTGAAAAAATAAAAGCGAGTGATAGCAAAATCTGGTTGTCATTAAAGACCAATATAACTATTTAAGACATGTTCACGTGACAAAAATAAAGTTCAAAAAGGAGAGAGAACTTGCAAGCAATAAGTAAGGGATATTTTGCTCAGACATCAAATGAACATAATCAGAGAATATTACAAACAGTTCTACAATATACAACCATTAACCTGGTCTCCAAAAGAAGCACTATCAAGGTTAGCATTATGCCATAGAGGGTAAAGCCTCCACCTATGATGCTGGCATCCCATATGGGTACCAGTTGGAGTTCTGGCTGCTCCATTTCCAATCCAGCTCTCTGCTAATGTGCCTCAGAAAGCAACAGAAGATATTCCAAGGTGCTCAGGCCCTGGGCATTCACATGGGAGATGTGGAAAATGTTCCTAGCCCCTGGCTTCAGTCTGGCCCAGCCATGGTTCTTACAGCCATCTGGGGAGTAAAACAGCAAATGGAAGATATCTCTCTCCCCCTCCCTCCTTCCCTCCCTACCTCTCTTTCAAATAAATAAATAAATCTTTAAAAGAACACAGCACTATCATAAAAGAAGTAGACAAGTTATACTTCGACAAACTTAAAAACATATTCTATGCGACTCCAAATAGATATTGAAAAATGGAATAAAACTAGAAGAAAATATTTGAAACCACAACCATAAGAAACTTTTTATCAAGAATATATCAAGGGGCTAGCATTGTAGCATAGCGGATAAAGCTACTACATGTGATGCTGACATGACATACGGACATTGGTTCATGCCCCAGCTGTTCCACTTCCAATCCCTGC